CTGTGGAGACACAACAGGCAAACCCAACAAAAAGGTTACATAGAGCACTTTAACTTTGATTCATCTTACAAGCTACAACCTTGTCAACAACCCACTATTGTCACTATTGTGTTAATAACTGTGTGCTTAAAATAATATACAGAGTAAGAGTAGGAAGAATGAGTTTTTGCGAGAAGGGTGAACAATTTCTAGTGGTCTAAAAAAATTAACCACAAAAACTAACATGACATAATAGGCCATCAAGAAAAGCTGAAACACAATCAAAAGCTTATGAATGAACAATGAAGGAGACCACACAAGTAAGGCCCATCATGATTAGCAATACATTTTTATTGCCTGTTTTTCAAGCAGATTTCTGGGAAAGAGAATGCGATCTCTCATATTGCTGCCTGAAACTCGCTGCAGACACAATGATGTAGGCCTATTCCCACAGACTGGGAGAATGAGACAGGAACAGATAACATTTGTGAGGATTTGCAATCATCTCCACTAATTTAGACATTGGAGTTTATGGTAACTAGATCTACTCATTACATAACAAGATGAGCCTGCTGCAAATCTCTGTGCTGTTCAGACTTTGACAACATACTTAAAGAGGAGATGGTTATATGTTTTTGTGACAGTTTGATTGGGATTGATTACATCGAGTTGTGTGGTATAATGTGACACTAACTTGACATTGGCAGAGTTAAAGAATTGCTTTTAAGTGCCAAGATTTTTAGGTTGCCATTGCCATAGCTAATTTTTACTCAATCTGCCTGTACTGCATAGACGATCATGTGCAAGTGGATATGCAGTTATCTTTAAAACTGGTCATTATCATATACTTTGGCAACATACTACACAAAGTTGTACGGGCATGATACTAAAATATAATAAATACTAAGGAAAAGGCTTGATACTCAACACTGATTTCGAGACCACAAAGAACACATTTTTGAGATGCAATTTTCAACACCAAATAATACTACTATAGTTACTTCAGTATTACTATGAAAAGAATTATTCAGTAAAGGGCCACCTTTGGCTTATGTGATTGTTTTCTATATAGATATACTTGTTCAAGTGGCAAAAGATAAATTCTTCTCTGGATCCAGAACTGAAGAAGTCTTCACTCTAAAACCTTTGTCCAGTTCACAGATTAGATTGGATTATACCTGGAGATTGCACAGACTCGTTCAAGTGATTATATACCTTTGATACAAGTTTTAGTATTTGTTAGTATCTCTGTATAGATTTTTTGACTTCTCTAAAATAAAGCAATGCCAGTACAGTATTATTTTTGTTATGAAAGTTGGAGTTTGATGTAGGGTCTATCTGAAACACTGAAAAGTGTGCCAGTTCACACAGAAACATAAACAAATACTCAATGAATGAGCTAGCTTCCAGGAAAAGCCAAAGCAGAGATAGCTGCTAATCTGAGCATGAAGCAGAAACCCAAACAGAGCAGAACCACAAGCAGGGCAGGCCACCCGAGCACCACAGCCAAAGGCATCACACACCTATGGGTGATACCAAGCCACAGAGCGCAAGGGGAGTATAGCAGCTGTAGCCCACTGTTGAAATAACTCACCACGGAGAAAACACAGCAAGGAACAACCTCCTTTGGTCTACAATTTCCTCATATTGATTGATAAAAATATTCAAATATATTTTCAACAAATAAAACCTGTTTTCAATATTAATTTCTTGAAAATAAACAGTACAGACTATTAATAATTGCCACGTAACACAAAAAACAAATGTCAAATTCCGTCCTCTAAATTACTAAAGTATGAATTCAATGATATCATTCACCATTAGAAATTAATTCTAATTTAAATTTGATGATTGCACAGCCCTACTTGAAAGGGCACTGAGCACAAAGCTTGTGTCAATCTAAACTTTATGTACACTGTATCTTGAAGAATTCCTTATTAACATGCACCTGCACAATTACTGGAACTGTTCAGGGTATCTAGAAAAAATGGTTGTTGGTGTAGAATTCCTTTGTAGCTAACGGTTATGTTTTAAACTCTTATGATACAAAAATAAATGATAAATTACAATTGTTAGTGAGTGTAAGAATACGTTAAGTTTAATTCTTAGTACCAGTCAAGTCTAATGTATTACAAAACCAAAAGTTGTAATGAATTCAGTGAGGTTCCAGAATCAAATTGTATGACACATTAATAAAAATTACTTAATGTCTGTCTGATATAAATGATGAATGATAATGAATTCATCAAAACTATACTGCTATGCTGTTACTGCATTACTATACAAAAAAGTCACCACAAAACTGAGGCTAAAGCTTTCCTCAAATTCAAAGACTATGAGGCAATGATAAGTTATTCTAAAAATGTCAGCTGATGTCTGGGGAACCCTTTTAGCCCAAAAATTATGCAAAGATTTTAATTACAACAAGGACCAAAATATATTTTCACACAATAGTAATTCACATTGACAAGAAAACAATAACAATGTGGCTGCCTCACAAACGAGTGGAAAACACGAATGTGGGAATTCCCCATATTTTAGAGATGTGGAAAAGTCTGTTTGGTCTCAATATGTCACATTCTTCAACATCAGAGGCGCGACACATGGCCTTGACCTAATCTCTTCCTTTTAAGACTATACAAATATATCTAAACAATTAACACACACAACTGAAATATGAAATTTAGAATGGATTAATGAGTTTCCAAGCTGTTTCTGTGAGGTGTTTTCCCTGGTTTTGCCTCATTTGGTTTTAATATGGGCGTGCCTTTACCATTCCACGTCTATAAGCATCCAAAGATACTACTGACCAACAGGAAGAAAGCGCCACATGACAAAATGATATAGTAAACAGGAAACATGGGCGTAAAAGGACTAAATACATTCTGCAGTTTCAGCTCCGGTCGCAGTATGCCACCAGCTATTTCTGTGAGGGATGAGGAAAACACTCACCAAAGAAAAATGTGGGTCTTATAAACAAATATCATATTACAATGGTTTTAATGAAATGACAGAAATAAGTATGTAAGAATATAATTATTATATTATGTGTACTATTTTATCTAGTCACTAACTGTAGATAGGTGGCTGAGTCCTAGTCTCCTGCTGCCAGTACTAGTCACCAGCTATTATTCAGTGCCCAGTGTTTCACAGTGTCCTCATGAACCTAATAACCAATGCCCCAATTAAAAATTTACAATAACTTTTCTGGTAGAAGGTTCCAAACCTGCTTGTCTCCATTGAGAGGTTTGGTGTTTCCTACAATGTTCAATATTAACTCTGTGGAGACAAGTATGTGGCGCTACCAGGCCAAGTTACAGGTCGTATCTGTGAAGAAGCAACACAAAATTGTTTCATGGTATGGCCATTTAAGGAGCTTGTATAGGCTAGATTTACTCTCAAAATTAAAAGGAAGACGACAAGTTCCTAGTTTTTTAGTTTTCTAATCCAAGTTTTGAAAGCAGACTACAAAGAATGGAAAACAATAAAAGTTGGGCATAGAAGAAAGGGCTGGCGCCATAGGATAGATACATCCCTTTGAGTCTCAGGGAGATTAGCCATTTCTGAGTGACAAAAAAAGTGACAAAAAATCCTGATTAGCCTCTTGCCGACCTCTAGGGATTGACCTTTGACTTGTGACCCTAACACTCCACTGCTTAACTTGAGTTAGGATCCATCAGCATGAGCCTTTTCATTGGGTTTCATCCAAATGCAAAAAGGGAAAGCGGGATTGTCTGACTGACAGAGGAAGTTACAATGGAAGTGACATAGGGGATTGATAGGGCAAGTGGATTTAATTAGAAACATGGTAGCACCGGAAACAAAAACAACAGGAGAGAGATGAGAAGTTTTTTTTTTTACAAGAGGTCAAAGAAACACTGGCTTAGGATACAGGCTTTCATCAAATCCACTTGCAAATCCATAGATTAGTCCCATACATTGTTTTCAGGAAGTCTGCAACCAGCATCCAGAATATAAGCAGAGGATTTGGGAACTTTTGCAAAAGCCCCAAGCCACTGAGCTGGATGGCAGTAACGTTCATGTGTTGTTCCACGTGTGCATGTTGTGAGCATTTGGGGGGATGACACGACGAGGAAGGGGCTGTCAGAAAAGCTCCGGCTCAAATGCAGGCGCTCTGACCAAAAAATTCCAACAATAGCTCACGACTCTCTAGCCACCAAAAGCAATAGAAATGAATTGTGGTCTGCTCTCCCACTGCGACCTCTCCATAGATAATATGTTCTTTGGACGCTGTCACCCCTCATGGTTTCATTATAAATGCTCTTTGATATTTACATGGCCCACTGTGCTATTCTCTCTAGAGTACAACCGGTCAAAATGTGAAACTATCCCTCTAGAATAAACAGGGCTTTGCTTCCTGCAGCGTCACCTCACCGCAACCAAAGACAATGGCATTTGAAAGTTAAGATCTAAACAGAAGTCACTCAGCTGAGAACTATGAACTAGATACGACGCAGAGGTGGGAAAAAATACTAAATACTTACATTATTATTAGACCTGTCACAGTGATTACTATTTTGGCTTATCATTCAATATATGAAAGCTGGAACAATATATTTTGAGGCTCAGTATTTACCGTAGGTACTTTTTCTCAGTTTTTGTTGTAATACATGAAGATCTGAGCAGTAGAGGGTTCAGTAAGTCACTTCTATGGCTAATTATTGCTTCACTGGGCTATTTATGTGTTGCAGCTCAGGCCTTTTAATGATATTGTCTATTTAAAAATGTTTTTATTGAGATTATAAAGCTTTATTTTAATTATATCAGTGTCATTTTAATATTATTGTTTATTACAATTTATCTCTATAGCAATGCTTCAAAATTTGTGATTGTGACAGGACTAATTATATTATTATATTTAGTTTTGTTGGTAAAAATTGTATTTTTAAACTTTATATTGATCTACACTTGAAATTAATATTCTCTTTTCAACTGACTAAACAGACCCATGTTTTAGTTCCACGTTACCTGCTTCTTCCAGTGTGCATGCGGTCAGATGCTTCCGCTGTTCCCGCGGTTTGGGGAAATGGGGCATTGGAGCGATGACAAGGAGCAGGAATCACTTGCGTGCGCGGAGTCTGTCACAACACATATTTAAAGTAGGCCTCTTTCAACTCTGCTAACAGGAGGAGGGGAGAAACACATTAGTGAAATAGATAGAAAACTGAGACACAAAGACCAAATGATTTATTATAGCTTTTAGCAGAAATACCTGCAGCAGAGTGGAGGCCCTCAGGTGCTTTCTGGGAGAGTGTAGAACCGCTCAAGAGAGTCGGCGCTGAGAGACGCCCAGGAATGAGGCGGCGCAAGGGGACTTCTCCGCACGCTGAATTGATGGGTAGCAAGCTCACTGTGCTGCCAAGGTATGTTTAAAACTATCAGTAAGTAAATACAGTTAGGAAAAGTACCCACGTAAATATACAGTTCATACTCTGCACGTTGTGCGATGTTAGCATACAGTTTTCAGAAGGATGCCCCATGACGCACAAATGGACCTTTGCAGTTTACATGCAAAGAAACATTGTACTTCATTTATGTGTTCAATACGAGTATCTTACCTCCAAAATGTGCATAAAATGAAAGTCCTCACAATCACATGTGGCGGGTAATGTGGCCAATTCTTCTTCTGTTTCTTTCACGCTAGTGTCATCATGCGCGCCCTGCTGGTAGAGTTACAAAATGCAGGTCATGCAGCAGGTGAGCAACTGGAAATGTTTTTTTTTTTCTCATTTTCCTGTTCTGCTTAATCTAATGCAATACAGTTATGAATGAAATAACACTGATTTAATGGTAATGTAAATATGTCACTAATGGTAATGCAAATATGTAATATATATATATTACAAAATGACCAAGTAAAAATAATGCAGCAAGCAAAAAGTATAATTTATTGCTCACCTTATTTTAGACCAGGCTTATTCAATTTAAGGCCTGGGGACCAGATCTCACCTCCCAAGCATTCTGTTCCGGTCGGTGACCCCTCTTCCAATTATTAAAAAAGCTCTCTTAGACTTGTTTAGTCCTGGTTTCAAACTGGTGTAATTATGAGTTAGTTTTGCGTTTGGTTCTACTTTAATCCTGGGATAATCCTTGTCCATTACTAGTAGTCCTGATTACTAATAGTCTATCAATAGCAGATCAACACTGATAAATCCTTTAGTATTTTTTTTTTTTCCAAAAATCATTCCATTGTTATTACATCATTATTTAAACATCATTTATTTCTATACAATAATAAAAAAAAAAATAATAATAATAATAATTATTATTATTATTATTATTATTATTATTATTATTATTATTATACATAATGCATAATACATAATAATAATAATCTAATTTGATACCTACCAACAGGTTTACCTTCTTAGCACAATCAAAATGGTCTATTCAAAACCTCTTTAAAACAGGACAACATCAGGAGACTAAAGGATACCATAAAATTATACTATCTAACCTATTTTTTACACTTCTTGAGGTGACTACTGTCATCTGCATGCATGTAGCCTTTATATGTCTGGTGCTTGTTGGACATGTTACAAATCATTGCAACTGGAAAACAAAATGCACCACAACACATTTGAGCAGTGACCACAACATCCAATACTGGTCGTCTGTGACTTTTGTTTAGCTTTTAGGTCATTTTGCGGATGCCAGCTCACTCCTTTGTGATGTCTGCTGTAGCGCCTGTGGATTTCCCAATGTAAATTCTAGAATGCAATTCCTCTGATTATAGTAAACTTGTACAGACTCTTTCTCTGGGTCTGACCGGGCATTCATTCACACAATCTGCACATCTCTCTACTACTCTGATTCTAAAAAGAGTCATTGGCAACTGGAAGGGAAAGCAAATATTTGACTAAAGCTTAAAAATAAATTTCCATTCCAATAACAGGACCACACACACATACATACACACTTTGCATGTCCATCTCCCATGCTACTTTTACTTGAACCCACATCCTGCGGCGGGATACTCAGGCGTGAGGATTTACACTGTGGTTGTCCTTCAGGTACACCAGGAGAGCCATGCAGTTTTAGGTCTAAGCTCTCACAGGCTCCACTAACCTCATGTCTCTAGTATAAGATGGATACTGGGGAAAAGAATGAAGAAAAGCATTATGGCTCCAAATCCAAGTCCACATCTTATTGGCACACTGCTTGACTGAATTGTGTAAATTAAAGAGATTGGCCTATGGCATTGAACTAAAAGGGTCAGATGTAGGCCTATGGTTCAGTATTCACTGTAAAGTTGCAGTATTGTCAGTAGTGGAAGAATAGGACAAGTGGAATTGAATATAAACAATATAATGTTTTTACTGGCAGCAGATTGGCTATACACCTCTTGATAAGTTTTATTGAAATGTAATTAATTATACAGCCAGAGAAGGAGAAGAGTTTAGAAAGAAAAAAAAGAAAATGTATTTGTTTCTACATTTTACCCAGTTTTACTTAACCTCCTATGACCCGAACTCTTGCATGGCATGCTTTATTGATTTTTGATTTCTCTTTGTTATTTGGGCTCGTTGGGACCTGATGAGTGCATAAAACAAGAGAATTATATTTTTACATGATGTAGTTTCTGAGAAAAATTATGTCCACATATAATATATAAAACATTTGTTTCATGTTTTAATCATTTTGATGGAACACAATAACGTCCAAATTGATTAATGATTTGCAAAAACTATTAAGTGCTTTATTAAGTGAACAACCCAAAATGTGTTGGACATGTAGGTCCATATCAGCTGACGTCAGATCCTAGGAGGCTGCAGAAGACAGATTGTGCTTGTGTCTGTTATATATTTATAATCTATGACACCCATGTATCATTATCTTATAATTTGCAAATTTTAAATAACTTGATAAAAGAAACAAGTTGCTAGAAAGCAGCAGATATTTTTTCATCTGTATCAAAATGAGTATGCAATGCTGCTGAATCCTACAATTTTATTTTCACCGATTAAGAAAATAAAATTGTGGACTTAGCACTTTTAATAAATATCTGTCATCACAGTCTCTCCACTGTACACTATTTACTTTTTATTTGAATTTAGACTGGCACGTCTCTTTGGTCAGAAGTAAAAAGTTGAAGCACCCAGAATGAATGTGTGACAGCGATCCGAGATCTGAACCTATAGTATCTTGAGCAGCTACGACAGGTAAAACATCTTATTTCCATTAGTTGCATTTGTCTCTTAAACCTTAAACTGTATACACAACATCCCTTTGCTCTGCCATTACTGCAGTGTGGTGGGTAGTTCAAGGGTGGGTATCGATGTCTGCTAAGCTAACAATGGCTAGATTTACACACTGTTGCTACTGTAACTCTAGAGACTAAATGGGCTGGATCTCTTTCTCCTGAATAAAGTGTCTTACTGGAAAGGGCTGGGGCACAGTTAGAAATACAACTGACAGATGATTGTACAGGGTTGGGAGGGGGTCATTATTTAGATGTAATACAGTTTCTATTACCAGTGCCAAAAGCTGCCATTATGCTCAATTTATGCCAAGTGTGATAACGATTTACTGATCAGTGTGGGTCAGCTGATGGAGGTATAAGGAAGCAATAACTCCCACATATATACATTTAATACCAATTCAAAATACAGTGCTTTCTATATGTCTTGGGTGAGGGTAGTGTCAGCTTACATGTCATCAGCATTCCAAGTCTATTTACACTGCCATAATAACACAATTGTTGAAATGGGCCAATAAGGAATGAAACTGGAGGGGCAAGGAATCCATTCTGTAATGCTTGGTTTGAGAGCAGAACGAATCACCTTCTTTGGGGGTGGGTAGTTTTATTATCATAGCATCGTGCTTTGTGTCTATCCATTTTTTCTTTGTGCAGTACATTTAGAAGTATAATACATAAAATCAACTTTTTAGCCACTCGCTGATAACAGTGTTGCCTCGTCATTGGCTTATTTAATGTTGTATTCATGCATGTTTGAGTAATCTTGTAATGTTCAGCACTTGAGGCTTGAGTACTCCAAAAATTCCTGTTTTCACGTACCCCCTGTTTCCATTCCCACATCTCTGTACTTACTTAAATGCCACTATGAAGAAAAGAGGCCTATCAGTTCTGAACAGGAAGTTCAAGGAGCAGTTTCTATTATGAAGCTGTTTTAGCTCTATATTTTGGTTTACAATGAACAAAATGTAAAATAATGATACACAGTTGTCACACAATTGTTTCTTGTGAGCTTTAAGCCAAAGTATAATGTTACCTCCTCAACAAAATACATGGAGTTGTGTTTTGTTTCTCATCGCACATGTTTGAGTAATCCTTTATTATTTGTCTGTCTACACCTCCAAACCTCAAAGTACTCCATGTGATGTAATATAGTGCTAGTTTTCAAGTTAGTTGTCAGTTCCAGGTCTGATATCATCGAAATTATTCTAGTGAAGGTGGATGACGTTTAAAAACACAGTGGAGCACTTCCTGTTTTAGCAGATGGCATCACAAGGTGGAACAGAGAGTTTAAGAGAAGAATTCAGCCTAAATCTGCAGGGTTTATGTGTTAAACATGTGTGCATGAAACAACATAGATACAAAATATAGGCCCTTTAATAAATCCCCCAAAAGTAGTATTAGTCTTCTTTAAAATGTTTCCATATTTTTGTTTGACAATACTTATTAATAATTATTGTATATTGTAAAGATCTTATTTTGCATTGCTTATTTATGTTTATGAATTTGGTTAATTCAATACAAAAATTACATTTCAGCCTAATACAACATCAATGAATAGTAGCACATTTTTGGCGACTTGACTCACCTCGTTTGGTAAATTGAGGAGGAAGGAATGGTTGGTCTCGCCTTGTTTACAGACAGAATATATGCAGAAAAATGTACATGCCTTTCCTTTCCACCAACATATAATGCATTTGTGTGGTTTCTCTGTCAGACGCAATTACTCACAACAATCCCTTGACTTCCAAATAAAACAATTTACATGAGACGTAGCGGCTCTGAAATTGCACGCATTATGTTGTTTAGTTTGCCATGAAGTGAAGGTGTATACAGCCTGTTACAATAATATGTCTGGTAATTTCTCTAGCCTTGGAAATAACACATTGACCGCCCAACCGCACGCATATTTGACTCAAATTCCAATATCGGACATAAAGGGAAACTGAAATGTTTTTAAGTAAATTTTATCCTTTTGAAGTTCAAATATCAAAACTCTTCACGGTGGTATCTGTCATAAACTCATCACTGCCCATTATCTACATCAACCATAATATAACATGACAAGATTAGACTTGTCAGTGGTCTCCCAGCATAAACAATTACAGCAAGACCAGTAAAAATTAAGATGTCATCTTTCTAAAACAATGTTTGGAGGAAGTCAGTCCAAAGTGGAAAATGATGAGAAAATAATCTGTTTTCTGATAGAGAAGTATGTGCGGCTTTCTTAAAATGGAATATTACGGCTGTCCAGATCATTATTGGCAACTTACACTCCAGTCTTCATTATTATTGGAGCGTCTCCCAGCTGGACAGTTTTGGTACTGCAGAGCGGTGTCATTTGTTCAAAAGCATAATAGATTAGATTGATAGTAGATCTTGAATAACCATAAGCCCTCTTAACCACCATCTGTCTCTTTTAGTTCT